CCCCAAAACCCCAAAACCCCAAAACCCCAAAACCCCTTTGGAGATTTTAGTTTTGAAATTAAACTAATTTCTTAGGCATGGAAGGCGAGGGATAAGGGTAAGCAGGATCGAGGAAATGAGATAAAGGGAAAACACAGTTTTTAGCAAGATAAATACTTCTATTCCTTAGCAAATGAAATTTTAGTTCTGATAAGCTACTTTTGTGGTAGACACTGTTTTAACTGTTTTTGACCTGGTAGTGGTTTTAGATACTGCACTGCTAAAGCTCTTTTTGAAACTACCTCCGTGAGATCCTGGGCTAGAGGATCCTGGAGATTTTTCTCCTGGCACATTGCCATATGCTGTCTTACCTTTGTTTAGGCAATATTTTTCTAGATCAAGTTCGTCTAATGAAGTGAAACCTTCTCTTTCAAGGATTAATTTGATTTTAACTAACTCTTGATCTGCATAGGTTTCAATAAACTTCTGGATTATCATGTACCCGCCTCCAACTCTGATAACAAGTTTTCAGTTCATTATCTTAGCATAGATCTTTTTGGTACCAAAGAGGTAGAACCCTCTTCCAAGTCTTTTGACTGGGACTGGACAATCCTGGATATATTGTGCAAGGAGCTCATCAACTTCATCTCCTTTCTTAGCTTTATAGGAGATCTGCTTCGGTGGAGGTGGGGAGTCTCCTAAGAAAGCAGTGAGTTCCTCGATCCTGGCATCTTTATGAGCCAACATTCTGAGCATGTCTTCTATCTCTTTGTCCCTATCGTCAATATTTTTCTGAAGTTCTTCAATTCTTTCATTTGAAATATGAATTTCTTGCTCTAGTTGGATGATAATTTCCTTCTTCTCCTCGATAAGAACTTTGATCTGCTTGATGTCACTCTGAAGAGAGGCGATGAGCCTCTCTTGTTCAGTGACCTTATCCTGTCTCTGATCAAAATCAGCAAGTGCTTCTTTTAGTTCTGAGAGAAGTTTGTTCTTTTCATCAAAATAGAACTGAAGTTTGTTGTCAAGAGACTCTCTTTCTTCAGAGAGTTTGTCATTTAGCCTATTTCTGTTGCCATCAGTGAATACTCTTGTCTCAATAACCTCAATTTCTTTCAACAAGTTGTTGATCTCAGTTGTGATGGCTTCTAAATTCTGGAAGACTTCATCAATCTTGCCTTCTTGTTCAATTCTATGCGCCTTCCTAGCATCAAGTTCTTCAGAAAACAGTTGGAGCTTGGTGGAGAGACAGCCTTGAGCATTCTCAAGAGCATCCTGGTGGGCCTTCCTTTGCTCCTCTGCTTTTCTGAGTTCTCCACTAAGTTTGGTGTAGTTTTCCTCGTATTTTATTTGAGCAATCTTGTCAAGTTCCTCTTGGAGATGAGCTATTTGGCTCTTCTGTCTTTGAGATTTGTTATTAAAATCTGAACTTTCGTTTGTCTTTCTAGCTATTTCCTTTAATAAACCATCAATAATGGACTTTTGGGCTTCGATATTTTTCCTTAGTTCGGATATATACCTTATGAACTCAGCGTCAGAATCTGAGTATTCAATTTTAATCCTATCGTATTCTCTTCTGAAAGATTTTAGGTCAAATTTAGTCAGAGGAAGTCTTCGCTTTAAAATACTATCTTGTTTGATAAGAGAGCCTTCTTCTTGCTTCAACTTATCAGATTCATTAGATAAGATTTTAACATCACTTGTTAGTATGCGTAGTTGGTCATGAAACTTCTGAATTGTGCTTTCAAGCTCTTCTGCTAAGTCACTATGCTGTTGGATGTATTCGTTCCTTCCATCCTTGGTTGTGGTGAATTCTGTTGTCAGTTGATCAGAAAGATCTTTCAATTTAGAGTCTTCTTGTCTGAGATCAACAGCTTGCTGAGTCAATCCACTTTCTTTGGGATCTTCAGGTGTATCAACAATTTTCTTGAGTCTCTGATTCTCATTTGTAGCCTCTTCTTTTGCCTCTTCAAGCTGCTTCATGTCTTCCATAATTTTAGTGATCTTTGTAAGTAAAGCTTTAAGTTCATCGTCTAAGTCTTCCTTCTGTTTACTAAAATCTTTTTCAATTTGGTCTTTGACTGCTTCTAAGGATTCTGTAAATTTTAGATCTTCGACATGTTCTCCTTGGAGCTCTTTATGAAGGACCTCAAGGTTAGCCAAGATGGTGACTTTTTCGTTATTCTCAAAGTTGATATCATCAATCTCTGATCTTAAAGTTTCGATTCCTTCCTTTGTGAGATTTCTGAGCTCAGTTATGAAGGACTCAAGAGTGTAGGTCACTGTTCCAGAGTAGACACTTGAAGTTTCGATAGGAGTTCTCACCTCTATCTTCTTAGGGCAGACTCTTGTGGTAGTAGTCTTGGTTGCTCCTTGCTTCCTTATTGTCGGGGAGTCACCCTTTGTCAAAGATACTAATATTCTTGGTTTTTCAGTATCATCTTGCTTGAAATTCCCATCGTAGAGGTCGTCATCTTCGTGATCGAAGAGAGTAACCCAGATCTCTTTAGTAGATTTAGTGGCATTCTTGTAAAAGGACTCACTTGCGAATGAAATTGAGCCTAATGTGGCTTCATTCACAAGAGATTTAACAGTGGCTCTAAGAATAGCTCCTGATTTTTCTAATCCAAGGACCAACCTATGGTCTGTATCTCCGAATTGGATGCAGTCTATCTCCTGGCCATCTAGGCTGATGTAGCAGCCAACGCTGCTAGCATTGGCTGAACCATCTTCTAGGTTTATGTCGATTACAGAAAAATCAAATTCTTGTTGGGCCATGTTTGTATAAAATCTTTTAAAATTAATAAATCTGGTTTTTCTTAAGATTTAAGTTTCAGTTTCCCACAAAAGAGAAGGGGTTTTGGGGTTTTGGGGTTTTGGGGTTTTGGGGTTTTGGGG